GGCGTGACCCTCGGGGGGCCATTTGGTGAGGTATAGACTTCACCGGAGGGGGTCACTTAGACGGTCTAGGGAGTCATACTAGTCTAGGTCTTAGGTAACCTTTCGGAAGCGGAGGCGTCGGGGGACACTCGCTTTGGGTAGGTTAGGTGCATCGTGTCACGCTGAGACGTGTTTATGACACGCTCGGTAAGAACTCCTCTAATAACGGTGTTCCAATGCGCCTTGGATCATGCCGGGAGGTGGAGTTAAAAATGGAAGTAAAAAGGGAACTTAGCGTGGTAGGGATGTTTGGCGTGTTTGCTTCGTGTGTGGTTTCTTTCTTGCAGGTTTTATAGAAGAAGGTGGAGATTTGTAGAAGCCAGGTCTTCGTCAAAACCCGCTGGGAGAAACGGAGGCTTTCGAAGTCTCGGACTGAAGCAGAAGGTTTCAGGGGTATTTTTGGGAAATTTGTAAAGGGCAGAATAAGCCCTAGGGTTTGCGTCTTTCTCGCACAGACTTGGCATTTTGGTTGGTTTTAGGTTTCTCTCTCTTGCGGTGGCGATTTTCGTCCTCCGTGTGTCGGTGCCGATTTCGATCGGAACTCCGGCGGTTGTACCTAGCAAATAGCGGTTCCCTCTTCCCGAGACGTAGGCACCGAGCGTTAGAGCTCGGTACCGAACTCGTACATCGCTGTCTCGCATCTCTCTTTCTTTTCTTGCACACGAGAGGTTCAGATCGGAGTGTTCTGTGAGGAACTCGTCGGGCCGATTTCTCTACAAATATATATTCCAAATTATCTACTTTGGACTTTCTTGAGTGGTTACCCTTTGCGAATGCATTTCCCCTTCAAAATTTCGAATCAGGTTTGTGACGCCGGTTCAACCAATGTACCGCCTCACCCCCTATAAACATCTAATGAATGAAATCGAATAGAAAATCTGGCGAATAGTTAATATAATTACCAAAACACAAATATATTTGATTTCGGTTGAGGTAGAGCGTTTCGGAATCAAGGAATAGACGTCAATTCCTTCCAAATGGTTGAGACCGAATAGCTTAACCCGGTTCAGAATTTAGACATGGTCCGGTTTAAGGGTCGCGATGAACAAACCGGAGGTCAGGCTTTTGAGATAAAAAACGAAACAACACGTGTACAAGTAACTGGATGCCACGTGTACATGACGAGCCTAAAAACAGTGACATCATGCATTGTGTGGGGCCTACACGCCGTTCCGTTCGAAAGATAGTAACGCCCCTGCTCCCTCTGTATTTATTATTTTATAGTTACTATGGTTTTGACATATACACAAAGCTCTAAGAAAATACCAATTTAAAAATTTTCAAATTTAATATTTAGATGATTCATTGAAAATATGATGATTATATAACTACTTTACTAATTTTAGATAAAAATTTTGAATGTACTAAATTCACAATAAGAAAAAAAAAAGAAATTTGATAGGTATTTGCCTAGACTATTCAAACATAGAATGATAATATTTTAGACGAAGTCGACGTAACATTAAATATTTTTTTAAAAAAAGAAATTGATAGGTGTTTGCCAAATTAAATTTATTATAATAATAAGAAACCCTCCAAATAAATAAAATCTTATAATATGTTTATATGACGATCCATCTCGTTCATGAAAGAACGTAAATTGAATATTAGAAGGTGTAGGAGGCGCAAGTGACAATGGAACCTCAAATCTTGGGGGAAACAGAAAATATGTACAGAAAGTGACGAACATTATTTAGATGAACTAACATTATTTTAATTCATCACATGCATTGGTCTAACATTACCCCTTTAAAAGTCGCTATTACATGTAATTTATACTCCACCAATTTCAATTTTATTTATAGATTTTTCTAATTATTTTTGGATCGTCCGATACTACCATATCCTCCTCGTGCAGCCAGATACTCAAACCCTAGATCACCTAGAGTATTATTTGATGGAATTTTAACGAGGAATTTATATGACTTGATTATATATAATACATGATTATATATATATAATAAAAGAGATTATGGACTTATTTCAACCTACTAATTAAAATATTAAAATTAAACACCAGCGGCCGGTCATGTACAAACACCGATGTTATTGCGGACAAGAGGATGTCACCTATAAACACGGCATGTCGAATTATTTAAGAGATGTTTTATACTTATCAGTAACTAATCATACGATTAAACAATTTAGTTAAGATTATTAAAGGGAAATTTTTGGACCCCCAAATCTCGAGATATGACGTCGAATGTTTTTATTTTGTAACAAGTAGTACAAACAAAATCCCTAATTTCTTGTAATTAGCAATATATATATATATATATTATAAAGCGACCCAATCGTGTGTCCGTTTGACGAACATTAAATTTCTAGATTTACAATGGGAAAAAAGTCTTTGGCGGAATGCGAAATCTTTACTCATCTGGATTCAGTATTTGGAGAGAAAAAAAAAGTAAGTTGATTAATATAGATGTTACAAGAAAAATATACAATATACATTTTTGCATGTCCACTTTTTGGCGAGCAGCACCGATCACTGATTGGCTACATGCTCAAGTTGGCAAGGTTTTGTCAACTTAAAAAAAAAAAACAATGCGACAAATGTGACGAGTTAAAAGTTCAGCTATCATAAAATTTATATCTAAAATAATATTATAGATAGATAGATAGAGGTACGTAGTGTGACATCCAGATATGAGGGTGGAGAATTATCGCCGGTGTGAAAAAGACAGATAAAAAACAAATCGTAACAGGTTTCTAGATAGAAAGATACGAGATGAATCAAACACAATATAATGGAAGGGATACAATGATGGTATAGGTACGAAACTATTAATGATAACTTTATTAGAGAATATTCTCTAATAAACTTAAAGGATTTGATTGGACTACCCATATCAAAAAGATATATCTATCTTTTCGTTTGCTTATCGCGAGGGAAATTCAAAGTTAAATGTGTTCGTTTTGGAGTACTGTTAGGACGAGTGATATTCTGAAAAGTATTTCCCGTCAGAGAACGATAAAAATTCTCATCGTTGGTATATGACTGCAGTTTCAATAATTAATGTCAATAACGATCGCAGGGTGATTTGTAACAATCGCGGGGCAGTTTCAATGTCAAAGTAGTACAAACGGATCTTTATGTGATTTGTTATAAGAGCGAGAACGAGAAGAAGTGTCGTGGTGGAGCAGTTCGAAACGTCGGTCCAACGGAGCAGACAGGAAGCCGAACGGCGCGCTTTTCCTCCACCGTTTACCCCTACCGCCCACCAAACAAAAAACAACCTATCCTTCTTTCTATTGTAAAAAAAAAGAAGAAGAGACCATATATGAATTACAGTTATGATCTTTAATTTATCACATTAAATAGGTACACAGACACACATATAATGGTCATATATTTTATTTTGATATAACTATATTAAAATTAGAGAATAATGGGTCAGAAGTTAACTTTTTATATTGATTTCTTCTATTAATTTCATTTGTATTTTGGGCATTGAAATGTTCTCTTGAAGTACGATTTGTGTATATGTAGAGAGATGATATTAAACAAAACGTGAAAATTCAGAGAGAGGGTGGCATAGGGGTACTGTTGCGAGAGGCATGGTGAGGTAAGTTCTTGCTTAGTTGGGACGATAAAATCGTAGGCGGGTCCGGTTTATGCATGTCAGGAAAATGCCACGTGTTATCATCCTATGCTTGTCACGTCACGATATCCCTCCATCTCAACCGTTCATTTCAGTCGTACTCTTTGACCAGCACTCTCCCTTGGATGGTGTATGCATCCTCCACGCGCCTCTCACAAGCGCGTGCTTGAAGATCGTTTCCTCTTCCGACCTCAATTAAGATACTAAGACAGCAAATGATGCGCACACACACACATATATATATATATATGTGTGTGTGTGTCAGTGTGTGTAGTTGTTAATGAATTACTCTTAACTCTAACAAAAAGATTTTAAAACAAAAAAAGGCCAATTTGAAAGTGTTGTCGGTGAAGTGGAAACAAATAAAATAAGGTGACAAATTAAGGAAGAGGAGATGGGTTTTCGTATAAGGAGATGGACAGTATTGTGAGTCAGTGTAGATCCTGTGTTGGTCAAATCTTTTATATATATATAAAGATCTGTTGAACATTCTAGATGTTTGCTTCTGTGTGCATATATTTATTGACATATACATACATACATACACATGCATTATACATGTAGAGAGAGAGAGAGAGATTGAATTGTGACAAGAGACTTGAAAAGAGTTGAAAAGATATATGCATGAAATGATCGATGCATGGGGAGGGGGGGCCGCTACGGTTAGGGCAATGTTTTTTGAAGCAAGAACAGAGTACCTTCGGGGTCACACGTGTGGCTTTTTTTTTAAAAAAATTTATCTCATAAGCAGTTATGCATCAGTTTATCTTTTATTTTGCTGCATAATAACTTACACATCGTTACCACAAAAAAAAAAAAAACATATTATTAGTAACCTTATCAAATCTTTTCCATATCAACATGCTTATAAATATGTGGCAAAAAGCTACAAATAAAGATATAAAAAAATTACATAGACATGCATGAGTGATAAGTACGTAAAGACCTAAGAAATTAGATGGGCATTCAATAAACAAAAAAACTTGCAAAGGCGGTCAAGCCGAACACTTTTTCTTATGTTCTATTTAATTCCATCGTTAGACTTTGAAATTCCTCGACTACCCGCTCGCATAGCCCTTGTGGTGTGAATAAATACCCCAATCTCCTACCTTCTCTCTTTCCACTTCACCGCTTTCTCTCGCTCAACACTCATTAGTTTAAACCAAAACTCTACTACCCCAGGCCGCAAAGAGTTCACAATCAAAATCTCATATATATATATATACACACACACACACACATACATAAATATCCATATATATATATATATATATATATATATATATACCAGTGGAAAGAGATGAACGGGAATATGAAAGGATCAGGAGGAGGGCCGTGCGGGGCGTGCAAGTTCTTGAGGAGGAAATGCGTGGGAGGATGCATATTCGCGCCGTACTTCGACGGGGAGGAAGGGACGTCGAGGTTCGCGGCCGTGCACAAAGTGTTCGGAGCGAGCAATGCCTCCAAGATGCTAATGAAACTGCCTTCGAACAAGCGCCTGGACGCCTCCGTCACCCTCTGCTACGAGGCATTGTCTAGGCTTCGTGATCCTGTCTACGGCCCCGTCTCTCTCCTTTTCTCTCTTCAACACCAGGTTTCTTCCTTTTCTCTCTTTTTTCAGACATCACCCCTGCTTGCTTCTTCTTGCTTTGTTCGCTGTCTTGTAGATCTGGAGATTGTTTTGTCTGGTCCGGAAAATGTTTTTTCACAACGGTTTACTTGATCAGTTTAGCACAAAAATGATTTTTTAAAAACATTTTTGGGTTTTAGACCATCCCCATTATTACCACAGTTAAGGACAATAATGTCTTTTTACATTTTTGGGTTTTTGACCATGCCCATAATTACCACAATGGTTTACCAGTTCGGTCTTGGAACAAAAAATGGCATTTGATTCATGATGCAAGAAAATACAATCTGATGAAAAATACTCCGCATATAACATATATACACACAATGGCTGTGTAAAACAGGTGGTGAAATTGCAAGCGGAACTCGCATACATTCAGGCACGTCTCTCCACATTTCAGCGGTTTCCTCCGCAACAGCTGCACCCTTCACTGCAGATACCACCGAGTCTCCGGTGGTCGTCGCCTTCGGACATGACACAGCCATCCTTACCGCAGGTGGTGGTCCCCAACAGTCATTCTCCGACCGATCCATCAGACTTTGACTTGTGGGAAGAAGATCCTCTGGCCATAGATGACAGGGCACTTCTTCAACAACAAGTGGCGACCCAGCTCACAGCCATGAACTTCCCGGCGGCCAAATTGCCGGCTTCCACTTCCGGTTAGGTCGTTAGGATCTTGTTTAATAGTTGGTGGGTCACCTAACCGTTAGCCACTGTATTAGAGAATCGCATAATGTCGGACAAAAAGACAAAAAAATCTTGTTCCCAAGAGTTGACCTTTTTTCCCCGTTTAAGACCCATACATACATCGCAACTAGGACCGCAGCTAGATCTTTAAGATTTCAACATTCGTTAAAAGCTTTTTTACCAATGGATCTAGAAAAAGGCCCAGAAAGGTTCATCCAAGGCTCCACACACACATTCATTAGCTAATATGATTTCACCAATGATTGAGCTCTTATAACGGCACTATTTTGCAATCTTATTCCGAAGCAAAAAAGAAACCAACTTACCACTCTGATTCACATTGGCACCAGCAGATAACCCAAACCAAGAACCACACCCAATAACATGAATCAATAGGAGAGCCATTCTAGAGAGAGAGAGAGAGACCTGCAATAGTTCATCGTAAGATTTAACTCCAAAGAGCAATAAATGGGCGTTGAGCTTGTGGAGATGTGGCCTTACCTTGAGAAGTAGCAGCCGAGACCATGTGTTGTTCTTGGAACTGCAAAAGAGCTTACTGCACACAGTTGAGCAAAAGAAACAGGGCATGGGTTTTAAATAACTTTGATTACCACCACCATCCCAGTTAAATCCCTTGCAACATAGTGTTTGATATGAATATAAACCCATATAATAAAACTTACCAGATTGGCCATCTTGGTGTATGAATGGCAGATATTTCCTGTGAGTAAACAGAAGAAAGACTACATATTCCACAGGGAGGAAGCGTTTCGAGAACCCAAGTCAAAATACAAATGAAAAGGTACACAGGTGACGACTGATATGCTTTACAAGAACCCACCAAAAAATCTCAAAGGTTCACATCGTGGTTAGCAATCTAATAATGTATATGCAAGAAACCATCACAACAACAACTCCTACAGTACAATAGACCTGAATCGTTCCAGAATACATGCATTTACAACTGAATCCCCACTATGCAAACAGCAGTTAGTGTCGGTTAACCTGGAACTTTCCATTTCTACAAAACCTCCCCGTGTCTGAATCTGTCCCCGCAGTCTGTGTTGGAATCCAACCCACAAGGAGAATCATACCATTTGGAGTTTTCCTGATAGAAGCTATCCACTTGTATGCCGACTAAACCTACATCCGTAGCTATACCCGCATCTAGTCTCATGGGCTTTGTTAGTTTAGTATCTTCACAATTGAGAATACTCTTCTCATCAAAGTCATTGCACTTCAGCCATTTCTCAGGCTTACAAGGCTCAGACAAGAGATCCTTTGGGGGCCGTATCTGTTCCCAAGGTACAACGTCATCAAGGCTCCTCCCAAAACTGTCCTCGTCATCTTCGATGAGCTCAGCTTCCTTCCCATCCCCATACAACTGTTCATGGTGATGGTCACTCCAATGTGCTAAATCATTGTCTCCTAGAAGATCTTCACCTGAGGGTGGGTTGCCAGACTTTGCATTCTCATCTCCCAAATTCCGTATTTTGTCTAGAATATCAAACAATTCCCTTGACACCGAACCCAACAACTCTCGTGGGATCTTCCCGATCCTGCCCTCAAGTGTGCCGAGTTCGTTCCTTAGTTCTTGCACTTGCTGTAAAACAGAGAAGTGCATATCCCCATCACCCTTCCCCATTAATCCAACCCCTTCGTTTTCTAACTCCTCCCTTACCCCATAGACAGTGTCTTGGTCCAGAAAAAATCCTCCCTTGTGCCCAATAACCCGATGCATGATTCTCGCATTCCCATCCATTGCCCCCGGCTCATGCCCAGAATGCACGGCATATAACTTGAAGACAGCGATCCCTTCTTCCTGATATACAAAGGTCTTGTCCTTTTCATTGTAGTTAGCAATTGGCACAATAGCCCTAATCCTAAAACCACAACCACATCTCTTTGATTGATAGGGTTCCCTCTTCAGAATCCTAGACTTCTTCAAGACGGGCTCTCCAGCCCTATGACAAGCATAATCCTTCACCTCTGCCATGAATGGCTTATACCTAATATACTTCTGTCTAATGCAGAGCACAACCTTATGCTTAGCCGCCAATTGCTGCAACCTATGGGGCACTTCTTTGGCAGGCACATCAAATGACTCAGTGTACTCAAATCTGCGCCGTTTGCTCCTTGACACTGACCCAGAGTCAGCGTTGCAGATAGGACAGGCCGCAACACAAACCCTAATATAACTCTCAGGAATGCCATAGAACTTAGCACCGACAGTCCACACTTGCTTAATCCTGTCTATTGTCTCTTTGAGGCATAGGTGTTTCAAATCGGCATCATCATGAAAGCTCATGACGATGTCTTGCCACTGATTAATGTGGGAGACGAATTGCTGAGAGTTGTTCTTGAAGCAGAGAAACTCGTTACCGGAAGATGGGTCGACGCGCGCAGTGAGCTTGTCCTGGATCCGTTTCCAGGCCGTGAGATACGCAGTGTCCTCATTTCGGTCCTTCCAGACAGAGCGCCACGACTTGAGAACGGCCCTCGGCGTGGCGGCGCGGATCTCCGCCGGCGTCGCGAGCCGGTGATCGCGGAGGCAACGGATCATGAGTGCGTAAGAATCTGCGTTGAACGTGTAAAACTGGGTTGAAACATGAGGCTCGGGATTGATGAAAACGCCGCCTCCTCCTCCGTGATTCGAAACCCTAGGATTAGGCGCGGGAGCGATTTTGGGGATTCCGGCGGAGGGATGAGAGGCGTCATCTTTTTCGTCGGAAGATTGCGCCGGAGACTCGCCGGAAGTGGAGGAGCGGAAGAGGACGAATTCCGGGAGAGAGAAGGGTGGATCATCGTCGGGGTTGTGGTGGCGGTGATATTGATGATGATGATCATGGTGAATGGACGGCTGGGATTGATCGACCATGTCGGGAGGTCCAAGGCCATGGTGGTGGAACAGATCTTCTGTCTTGTGGGGATTCATCAGAGGAAACAAGAAGTAGCAGAAGAAGAGGAAGACGACGACTAGAGAGAGATAAAACGTGTAACAATATTCTTTTTTGAGTAATTTATATATATTTATTTTGTTTTTTTATTAAGCCGAGGGCGTTATTTTATTCTCTCTCTAGGAGCCTTCTTATTAGTTAATAGTTTTTTACGAGCCCTCGCAAATCCGCCTCTCCAACCAGAAGGTCCCAAATTCACTCGCTTTTTCAGGATGATGTCGGGTATACAGCAAGAAATCACATCGAACAATCGACCCTAAACAGTGAATTGGGCCGAAAATTCAAAGGCCCAATATTGGCTCGAACTTCTGAAAAAGTATTCTCTCTCACGTATACCTATATATATATATATATAAAATAACCATGTTGGTTTCGAGTAATTTTCAAAAAAATTATTTTTCTAAATTCATAATGGTACCATATTATTGGGAATCAATGTGAATTTGATCAAAACGACGGCGTCTCAATTTCTCTTCTCCCAGCTCGGTACGATGTCGTTTTCCGCTTTTGATATTTTTTTTTTCATTTCTTGTTCTCGAAGCTTAAGATCCATCGAGAGCCAACAAAAACAAAATCGGACCGAAAGTTCGTCAAATCCGTCTTCCATTTTTTTCTTCTTTTTGATTACTGTCTCAGCCCTAGCTCCCACCATCAATATCCGCCATGACCAAGCAGCACGCTAACTGGTCTCCGTACGATTTCAATGGAGGGTTCGTTATCGTTGCCCTAACTTGGACTCTATGTTCTTCATTCTCTTAGATCGACGCTCGAGCACTTGTCTGTAGTTTCCTTCAGCTTTGTGTCTTCCGTGTGACTTTGCAGAACCTGCGTGGCGATCGCCGGATCGGATTACTGCGTAATCGCCGCCGATACTCGGATGTCCACAGGATACAATATTCTCAGTCGCGATTACTCCAAAATCCACAAACTGTAAGTTCTCTCCCTTCTTCTGTCGATTCATTAGTCGCTCGAAACCCTTGGAGGCGCTAATGAGGTGTTCGTGGTAATCACTGTTTGTGAGTATTTTTGTTCCTTTTTCCTGGGCATTGCTGCTGACATTCTATAATTATGCTAGGATCTGGCTGGAGACTGTTGTTCAATTTCGGGATTTATTCTTTTCTTAGGGATTGTTAGGGTTTTTTGTTCCACTTCTAGGTATTGGCTATTGACTTTAGATGACGCTAGGATGTGGATGAAGACTGTCATTTCAATTTGAGTTATTGCTTATTTTGCTTGTAGATATGTAGCTCACCAGATATATCTAGCTTGAAGGTTTCATATACATATTTAAATGCACTTGCAATCCTATGAAAGAATGTCTAATTTAGTTTTATGATAAAGATGTAATGTGACACAAGGAAGGTATGCATAAGCTGTGGGCGTATACAAATTCTTCATCCGTCTTTCCTTCTGTAGACTTAGTTGTTGTGTCTTCATTCGGCAGAGCGGACAAAGCCGTGCTGGCTTCCTCGGGGTTTCAAGCTGATGTGAAAGCTCTACAGAAGTTACTTAAAGCTAAACACTTGGTTAGTTTTCCTTGATCCTTTTCATCACGTAACGTTTGTATCGTATCCTCGATAAATCGCGATTTGTGTAAATGGTTCTGTTTGCGAAATTTTAGATCTATCAGCATCAGCATAACAAGCAGATGAGCTGCCCTGCAATGGCCCAGCTACTCTCCAACACTCTTTATTACAAGCGGTTTTTCCCATACTATGCTTTCAATGTTCTAGGTGGCCTTGACGAGGAAGGTAAACATATGCTTTTCTTTTACATTTCCTTGGTCGATCTCTGTGACCGAACTTTGAATTCCATGACCATGACCGTTTCATGGTTGGAGATCTATTTCAGGGAAGGGGTGTGTCTTCACCTATGACGCTGTGGGATCATATGAGAAGGTCGGATACAGTGCTCAAGGCTCTGGCTCCACTCTCATCATGCCTTTCCTTGACAACCAATTGAAATCCCCAAGCCCTCTGCTACTGCCTGCCCAGGTAGTTTCTTTAGCTTTATGCCTTAATAACAGCGTGTGAATGCATCATTTGGTGATGCATTTTCCATTTTTATTTTCGGCCCTGGCAGGATCCAATCACACCCCTCTCGGAGTCTGAAGCAATTGATTTGGTCAAGACTGTCTTTGCTTCTGCAACTGAGAGAGACATCTACACTGTAAGTTCCCTATCACACAACATTCATCACATCTCCTGAGACTACTCCAAACCTCAGTGGCATAATCTGGAATCCTTTTCTGTTATATCATTGAGTGAAATCTTGATCTGTTTGACTTGAATGAAATGGCCTATGGGATTCCTATCAGATTCGCTTATGTTAGCAACTATGTTACACCAAAGTTGTAGTGACATTCACCCTTCTGGATGCTTGCAACAGGGAGACAAGCTGGAGATTGTTGTCCTTAAAGCTGACGGTATCCATACTGAACTGATGGAACTAAGGAAAGACTGAGATCCTGCGCCTAATTTAGCCTGTTGTGCTGTTTCAGTGTGAGCCGAGTTTGAGAACATCTTTGTTGGATTTTCTGTTGGTTGAAACATTTAGGCTCCTAAGTAAACCACTCTGGACTGCTCTGTTACAATTTAATCATGTTGCAAGAATTGATCGTCTTGCAGTTTATGAAGATTGTTGCCATTAAACATCTGCAGAATCAAACAAACAAGACGAGACAGAGACATGAATCTTGAACGTATTCTTTGTCATGTTGACATCAGAAGCCGGTCTGAGAAGCCCATCCTTTCTTCTCCAACTCTTGTCGCAAAGCCTACCAAAAATGCACAGAGAATCACAAGCTCAAACTCGTTGATATGTATGTACAGATGCATCCGTAAGCTTGAGCCTCGTACCTTTATTCTCTTCCTGTTGACATCAAAATCGAAGTTTCCCTTGCGGGATGCTGATCTATATTCCACTGTCGAGTTCTTGTTCCCCGGAGGAAACCAGAACTCCACATCATCTACAAGCTATCGGGCAAAACCCACATCATCTGTCATTTTCTTAGCTATGTAAATGGATGAGAAGATGATGATGCAGTTGGCAACTGAAGCTTTACCCCTAATAATGGACTTTGGTATTCTACATGCACATAGCCGTCCTTCCTCTCCACCACACGAGGAGTAAATTTGTCCGGCCTTGTCGAGTTGATCTGCAACAACAATGGTGGGTCAGTTCTGTATAAGCAGGACGGGGCTAAGACATCATCATCATTCACTTCTCAGTAACGTTTTTGTTTGGTCTGAAACTCGGTGATTGGGAGAATTGAAAAATGAAAACACAACCATTGCTCTACTAAACCGAAGATCCTTACAACATCAAGAAGCTCCTTCATTGCGACTTCTCTGGTCACAGGCGTTTTCCTTCCTCCATTATAGTCCCTGCCATCACCACCACCACCACCCATTATCAGAACATGTCTGATCACACTTACACGAAAATATCAGATGATTCCGATCACGATTAATCAAGAAACAATCCATGATATTGTATTGTTACCAAGGCGGGGCGTAATGGACGCGGTCACCGACATTCTCCGAGGTGGATATGCAGTTGTCTGTAGCAGGACAGAGAGCTAATCTCTGGTTCTTCTGTACCCCGAGATACTCTGGCTTCTTCCCACTGTACCCCATCACCACTCTTACATAATCATCTTCACCATCATTATCATCAATGCATCATAACCATACTATCTTCTAAAACCTAAAGCTGTCTGATCTGCAGACGGATTCTTCGGCTATATACAGGAAGAAGACTCACCTCAACTGTAAAATGGCCCCGATTGTAGCTAATTCGCTGCTCCTCAGTACTATTTGTCTAACAATTTCATATAATTCTCCATCAAAACTTCGTTTGATCTTTACCGAAGAGTCTTAAAGATGTATACGTACAACACGGAGAGAGAGAGAGCGTATACCGTCGACCAATTAGCTTCGCCGGTTTGTCTTCGGAAGCCTCTGGTTGAGACGCGGCAACAGGATGAAAACTTGAGCGAAGTTTTTTCCGACATTTATCGTAATTCACGCGGCAACAGAACGTGGTCGGTGACGCCATGGAAGCCATCACCACAAGATCTCCCTCGCACTCTTTTCCGAACGAGGAAGGCGTGGAAAAATTCCGAGGCGTTCTTATGGACGATATTTTCTCCCTCCTCATTGGCCCGTTGTTGTAATTTCGTTTGCTAGCCCAAAGAAAAACAACACGCAGTTCTATAACGGATCTCACGGACGACACGTTGTTTTAAAAATGAAAATAGGAGAGAGAGAGAGAGTGAAGAATAAACTGAAGTTACATGATGAAAACGGTCCATGGTTTCAAATAATATACACTTTGTAACAAATCCACGACACGCACAGACACTCAAAGAAAGCCTCTGGCTTTGCAGCTCTCGATTGCTCCAGAGAATATATCCTCCACTCCGTACTTGTATTCGAACCCTTCACTCTTCAGCTTCTTCGACGACAGGCTCACCCTCTTCTCCGTCTTGTAATTCTTTAGACTGACATAAAATAAATAAATACATTATTCTTATGACACGTGGCATTGTTGTTGTAATTAATTGAAATCGGAAAATGGGCTTACTCGACGGACGGGAGTTGAAACTGGGGAAATCTGGCCGACAAGAAGCGGAAAATCTCGTCGACGGTCATCTCCACGGACGAACAGATGTACCTTCCCTCGGCATGAGGCTTTTCCAACAGCAAGACCAGTGCCCTCGCCACGTCATCGATGTGCACCATGTTGTACGTGTCAAACAAATACTTCTCCTTCTCCTTGTGGTGCCCTTTCCACTCGTTTTATTAACCAATTTAGTATATAGAATTTTTTTATGATTTGTGCTTCAATATAGTTAGATGAGTAAACAGTTTACGTAGAATCCATTATAAATAATTTTTAATGCAGTAATAAAACCCAAACAAACTATAAAAATATACAATATGTAATATATAAAAGAGAACTTGAATGTACCATTGCCATTTTTTCACTCATTTTAGTCACTGAATCCATGTATTCATTCATTGCATTTATATATATGCATGTGTGTGTGTGTGTGAATTGTGGTCCAATAATATTGTTAGAGTGGACAGTTTACTTGGAAACTTCGAATATTGAAAATATAGCGTGACACCCATTGTATAAAACTCCTAATACAATAATAAATCCAACCCAAATAAGAAAAAAAAAATACTAATATGTATCTCGGGGACGTACCAAAGATCATGGCGAGAGAGATGAAGACGGAGGAAGGCAAAGAGGGAGAAATAAAGGGTCCGACCACGAGAGGGATAACGAGTGTCACGACCTCCAAACCATGTTTCCCTCCGAAGTCGAGAGCCGTTTTCTCGGCCGCGAGCTTGGACACCACGTATGAACTGCTCACTCTCTTCTCTTTCTGCTGCCGGAAAATCTCGATGTCCGTCCAAACATTCTCGTCAACTTCCCTTTCTCCGCCGCCGTAGAAGACGGTGACGGCGCTTGAGGTGTAGAAGAAGCGTTTAACGGTTTGTGCCTCGAGAGAGGCTCTTAATATGCCCATGAGTCCCTGTACGGTCCGTTTTGTGACGGCTTCTTCCGTCTCTTTGCCGTTGGGGTCCATTGGGTGTGCCACGTGGAACACTGCCATGCACCCATTGATGGCCGGCTTGAAGCTCTCTGGGTCATCTAGATCGGCCATGAATATCTGCAGCCTCTCCGATGCGTGTGGAAGGTTGGTTAGGTGGCTCACGTCTTTCTTCCCTTCTGTTTACATTTATAAATATTAAATAATAATAAAAATGTGAATTACGATATGATTGTTGGTGTGTTTATTAATTATTGTATATATTGATTGATATGAATGGTTGACTTGCATGGAACATGGGAGGAGGGGAGTTTTGAAGATCCTGCAAAATGACAGATAATTCCAGCAAAGTACAATAAATTCGCGCATCTTTATGGTACTTCCACGTAGCCACGAAAAATGTTTTTGGTCCAAAAAATCAAACATTTATTATTCACTAACTATGAATTGAAATTGAATAACAAGAGGAAGATGGTACGTAGCAACTCCACCTGGGCATTCACAGATCAAGACATTGCATACACCCGTTTCTTCAATTTCATGTGATTAATTATTGCATCCTCTGAGAAAATTAATATCATATTTAAAAGAAATGAAGACGTGCCCCGCGAATTCATACACAGCTTTGAGCCCATCACGAGAAATTCATACAAACAAAAAGGTTCAAAGACGACAGAAACACGAACATATGCAACTCGTATTCTTACAGACAGATATAAAGAACCGTAAAATGAGTAGCCCCAAGTGAAATTCGATAAAAAACACGTGTGTGTATGTATACATATGTATGTATATGTATATGGATGCAAATGAAAATAGCATTAATAAAAAAAGTGGGAGATCATGAATCGAACCTGGGGGGTTACGAACGGTGGCTCGAACGGAGTAGCCACGCTCGAGGAGACGCATGATGAGCCATGAAGCCACGAACCCCGTTCCTCCCGTTACGCACACCTTCCCCTTCCCCGTTCTCTCTCTCTCCTCTTCTCCCCCCATCTCTCTCTCTCTCTCTCTCTCTCTCTCTCTCTCTACAAATCAAACTCTGGACCCTTTAGGGCGTTCTTAAATAACGGATCCCACGTCATTACTCTCTCTCGCAAGCTATCCGCGTGATATGTTCCCGTTTTACCCTCCTCTCCCCTACCTCCTCCCTTTCTTTAATTCCATTTATACAACCGTTATATGTCCACATTAATGCCAGGTATATCTTATCTATATATATATATATATATATATATATATATATATACACACACGTTATGCAGATGTATGTGATGTATGTCCGCTAATGACGAGCACTGCGATTTTTTTTCTTCTCGGGTTTTTAGACCTTTATATATTTCGACCGGCGTAATACATGGTTACTCAATCTCGTCAATTTAAACAACATTTAGTGCATGTGATCATATTCATATCTTAGTATTAAGACGGTGCTTTGGGAAGGAATTGATGTATGAGTTGTAAAGTACTGCAGTGTTAGTTGACTTTATACGTTAGATCTATTGCAACAAAAACACATCCCCACGGTCGTTTGTACGTCTACACCACACCCATATATACATATATATATATATATATATATCGAAATTGCAATATATATATATGTAATGGTTGTCTAAAAAAAAGTGTCTGTTGACCGGCATTGGATTTTAGTGCATGATTAGGGTATTTTACCAATTAGCAATACACAGATTATACTTCTTTTTTGAGGCAAAAAAAAAAGGAAGATGAAATGTTGTTTTAGTTGTTATAAAATAATAAAGTTGAGAAATAATAAAATTTGGTGGTACGCGTTATAAGTGGGCACATGATCCGGCAGCCATCTTTTTTGCGTTATTTAAGGGTCGTTGCATGGTTGATGTTGGGAACTATCTCCATTTAATTAATTAATGTAGGAGCATTCATAAAACTTACTATTAACATACAACTAAGAAGCCTAATTAATTAGGGTTTAGTTAATGCTTTATCACCGGTGAACACAAATTATGGAATAATTATCCAATAGAGTTACCTAATTAAAAAGGAGCATTAGAAGGGAGGATTCATCGATCCAAATCTTTTGGACAAAACGTAAATTTTATTTTTTATTTTCTCTTTGTTGTTGCCTCAAATAGACACATTTTTATTTTCTCTTTGTTGTTGGTATTGGCGACTAAATATGGTCCTTTATAACATTTTTTTATATTTTATGGTGATTAATGATTATAATATTTTTTATTTAGAAAAAAATTAACGGAGTCGAGACAGAAATTTTAGTTGTGGAGATCCGACAATAACAATTAACAGATTGTGATATATGCCTTTATGCTTATTCTTTAGGTAAGCAATTAGAAGTTAATTAATACAATGTAGCCTAACTAGAGATATAAAGGCACATTTTAGTGTTTCCGCGTGATGCATTTCATTTTTTTAATAACATAAATGTTCAAATTGGCTGTTGTTAATTTTACATCATGCTTTTCTACGTGGTCCATGTTCTCTTAAATGCTCGGGCGAAAAATGAAGGCATGCGCCATTACACACACACACACACACACATATATATATATATATATATATATATATATATATATATATTAACATATACATGCAACGGCTTACATCTGTGTTGTTCTAAATTACTAATGGCGTCTGTCGGGTTTATCAATGACTGTTATTATCAAGAATAAGTTGTGTCATCAATGGGGTTGGTTAGTGGGAATCGTTTAGAGTATATATCATAAATTATGTTTTAATAAAAAAAAATTATTTAGTTTGAATTTCTGTATATCATATTAAAAATTTATTTATAAAATTATAAATTAATCCTATTAAAAAAAATTATGTTAAAGATTTATCCGATTACTGATTGTAGTATCTCTTCATCTCTTGCACTCATATATGTATACTCAATTAGTAACACCATATATATCATTATATATATATATATATATATATATATATAAATTCAAGTAGTCTATGTTGACCACTCTATTAATCATAAATCTAATAATGCAAACGTGAGACAAAATTATATATCAAAACTGATAATTAATGTAGAAAATGCAAGTCAGGAATCAAGTGCCAATTCATCAATCTAAAACGGGAAACTCAATGACTTATCCACAAGTTTGAATTATATATTCAAATATGAACCGAGAATATATAGACAAAAGGAAACGAAACATGGGCTCACCAACAAATTAATGAAGTTTCTTTTACCTTTTTTTTTTGTTTTCATTTTTTTTTTATAACCATGAGGTTTTCTTATATTTCGATCACTTAATCTTTTTGGATTTAAAATCAACTTTTAATCATGCAATTAATTGCATCTCCTTTTCTCTGTTAGTGAAATCGAACTCATGATGTTGAAATGATTTTATCATCCATTATACCATTGGACCACCACCTAATGGGTCATGCGTCATATTTTATATATAAAAACATCGTTTTTCTTTTGACATGCGATATTTGTGTGTTAATACGAGAATATACATGTGTATATATTTGGGGGTAAGTGTTTCTATTATTAATTATATGCGTAGATATATGTCTCTTAGTATAATATATTTTTGGTAGCTATAATACAATAAATTTCCACAAAAATCAGTCTAATCAAAGAAAGCAGAGCATGCATCAAAGGGAGCAGCGTGGGTTCCTTAAATCACACGCCACCATAGACATTGTTCTTACTTCCTTTTTCTTTTCTAATGTATTTGTTGTTTGTCGTTTAACTGCGGAGGCAACTGCAGCGGAGTTCACACGCCATTGTTCTTCTTTATTTCTTTTTTTTTTCTTTTCAATATTAAAAACAACAGTGTAAGAGAATCTGTCTGTTATGAGAAACACCAGATTCTTTCCCGTTAAACCTTTGTCCGATTCATGCTTCTTTTGCTATCTGTATATAATTAATTCTACGTTCTTCATACTTGTGTATACACACACTCAAACATATACATGTATATATATTACGTAAATGACATCTGGAGCTATCCCTGCATCGAAATATGTGGAATAAATATTACAAATTGATTTTTAAGAAATAAGTCAGTAGGAGTCTTATGGACTAATTAATCATCGTACCATAGATATAAAATAATTCAAAGAGCCCTAAAATTACAAGCATTCTCATCTCATCGCGATAAGACTAGAAAAAAGAAATACGAAGACGGATCATTTTTAGCATTTATTATAGACAACCTATATAGATAATAAGACGGGGCATTATAAAAAATACTCTTACTTTGCTATTCTTACTTCAACACATACCATTCTCCACCTGTGATCATATGATCCATATGATTTAAAATATAGTGTGGTCACATGTTGATCTCATTGTTTATAACATTAAATTTATGATGTTTTAATCATTAATTAGTAAGATATGTAAGGTATAGACATAATGAATTAGTGAGATCGCCATAAATTTAACGTTATAATCAATAAAATCAAAATGTGACTATACTATATTTTGGGTCACATTGATCACATGGTCACAAGTGGATAAGAGTATTAAAATAAGAATAGCAAAGTAAGGATATTTTTGATATAATATCCAATAAGAATCTATGTTATATCCTTAAGGGTTGTGACTCTAAAAATGAAGACGAATATATTATACTGAAAATAATTTAGATATGCGTTTCCACACAATTTTGTTGACAGTTTTTAATGATCTTTGTAATATATATATATATATATATATATAGAATATGAAATACAAACTTCATGAAATTGAATGTGAAACATTTTAGTACGATTGCTTAACTCGACAATATTTGAAGCCCTAATCCGCACAAACTATGGCGTAGGCCCAAGAAACAAAGCCCACCGCATTCCAAACCCTCCATTGACTTTGAACTCTAAAGGCTCAATTGTTATGCAGAGCCCTCCGGAGGGAACAGAAGGTTTTCAATTGTCGGTTCGGTGGATCTAGAAGAAAATCCATCGTGAGGAAAAAGTATGTATGGATATATTATATATAAACGCATGTTGGTTGTATAATATGTATACCCTTTTTTTCTTTATTAATAGTTAATTTCTATTTTATAACAATGATAGTGGTTTATGCTAAATTAATATAACTAAAAGTGTGTTTATTCTTGAGAGTTTTTCCCCTAAACGACGTTATCAATTGATTTCATCAGAAGTTTCTTGTTAGCACCGAAGGCAAAAATAAAAAATCTCGGAAGCTCACACCTTTTTCATACCCGTCAACCTTTCATTGCGTTCTGCAATGGATTCCGGGATTTTTCTCTAACATTATCGCAAAAACCCTTTTGATTTCCAGACAAAGCCCTAGCAAAAGGAGAAGGCTTTGTCAAAATTTCCCGAGAAATCGATCCAGTTTTCAGCGCTCTCCTCAGTTTTGCTTCGGGAAAATCAGAAAGATTCATCCTTCTTTCCGACGGGTTAATTCTGTCCTGGATCGTGTTTGACTACTATGCATAGATCTGGTGCTACAATGGCGTGGAACGTGTTCAAATTTTGTACGGCCTTGCGGGGTCTTGGATCGATCATGATCCTTCTTGTTCTGGGGGTCGTGGGTGTCACCTATTACGCAGTCGTTTTGACCAATTACGGGCCGGCTCTATACGATGGCGGGGTTGATTCTCTCGTGGCTCTTGCTATCCTACTCTTGTTTCATTCTTTGGTAAGACTTCGTTAACACAGCCTATGCTTTTGATTTCTGAGTTTTTCTTGTTGTGTTCATGTCTGTGTCTGCCATTTCCGGTTGGAGAATCTTAGTAGATATGTCACTATACGTAGACCTTAGAGATGGTAAAGTCTCGTACTTTTGGGTGTTTTTTTCTTGGGTTAGATGTTAGGTCCTCATTTTGTAGGATTTGGGAGATGGGTAGTATACATTTCTTCCCTGGTGGTTTTACAATTACCCGTTTCTTTGTGGCTTTTTGAATTTAGCTCGAATGAGTTTCTCTGCGTTTTGTTATTACGGCATAGAGTGTAAAATGTTTTAGCTGATCAAATGGTCGAGGGAGGTGCCTGAGGTTGAGAGAAAGTCACACTTGGGCTTTGATGCAGTTGATGATGCTTTTGTGGAGCTATTTCTCTGTTGTTTTTGCCGATCCCGGTTCTGTGCCTCCTAACTGGAGGCCTGCCACTGATGAAGAAAGAGGCGAGGCCGATCCATTAAACAGTATGGAGTTCGGTGGAATACAATCCGATTCTTCAAACCCGAGAATTCGATTTTGTAGAAAGTGCAATCAGCCAAAACCTCCCCGTTGCCATCACTGTTCTGTTTGTGAGTACTCAAGACACATTCTTGTTATATGTGTGTTTTTTCCACAGTATGTATAGAGAAGAAGGGCAGTAAATAGTGATGAATTGATCCAGGTGGCCGGTGTGTGTTGAAGATGGATCATCATTGTGTTTGGGTTGTCAACTGTGTTGGGGCACTGAACTATAAGTACTTTCTTCTATTCTTGGTAAATTTTCTTTCCTCCATGAATCAATGTCCCTTTTTCTGTATGTACCCTTCTCCTGCTCATATTTTCTGTCTCATTGTTGTCACTGTTGACTGAGGGAAGTACTGGGCTTGTTATGGTTATGCTATTTCTAGAGATTGTCGTATTTCTGTTGCATATATGGCTTCAGAACTTAATTCTGTTGGCTTTTCCCTTAATGTTTTCTTTATCATTAGGAGAGATGCTAATTCAGTATCATTGCTTTAGTAATTGGTGCTTGCTTGCAGTCAAGTTAACTTGTATAAAGTGTTGTTTCCATGTTTGGTATGACAAAAAAAAATGTAATATTTAGCTGATTCCTGTCCTCTTGTCCTAACTATGCTGTGCAGTTCTACACATTTTTGGAGACGACCCTTGTGACTTTGGTCCTAATGCCGCATTTCATAGCATTTTTCAGCGATGAAGAAATACCTGGAACGCCAGGCACTCTTGCAACTACTTTTCTTGCATTCGGTATTTTCCCAAAATTGCAGAAAGTAATTGGGATATTTCTTGTCATCCATCTATCCAACGATCTGACATTGTTTCCTTTCATCATCATATGACAGTTTTGAACTTGGCGTTTGCTTTGAGTGTTATGGGGTTCTTAATCATGCACATCTCACTGGTGGCTGCCAATACCACAACTATAGAGGTGCTCTTTTCTTCTTTTTTTATGGCCCGTGAAGAGAAATTCGTTTTACCACTATTTTTTAGTACACAACATCTTTTTCTTCTAGTCTTTCTCCTGAGACTTCCTTATTGTTGATTTTTTGACCAGGCATATGAGAAGAAGACCAGTCCAAAATGGCGGTATGACCTCGGCAGAAAGAAGAACTTTGAACAGGTTGGTATATTTGACAACAAGTCAGTCATGGCTGAACTTGTGTGGAATGTAGCGTAGCGTTTGGTTTTGGAAAATTTTCCTTTAGTCAAAAGATGGCTAAGGATCCTAGCTGATGTCTTAGGCCCCAGCATGGGTCCTGAAAAATTCTTCAGACTATCATCTTTTATTCTCTGTTCTTCCCCTTCCGTGGTCATGTCAGGTATTTGGGATGGACAAAAGATACTGGTTCCTTCCCACATACTCGGAGGAAGATCTAAGGCGCATGCCGGAACTGCAGGGCCTCAAATACCCTTCAAAACCAGACTTTGATTCCGAAGAATTCTGATGGAAACACGATCTGATAGTCGGTCTTTCATGGTAGTAGACGTCGTGATCAATCTTCTGTAGCAGTATTAGTGAGACAAAAAGAGATAAAAGGGTGCGAAAGAGAGAGCGAGAGAGACCCGGAAATGACTTCCACAAAGGAATCCTACTGACTTGTAAGCTGATGCCCGCTTTCCACGGCGTTTGTCCCAAGAAGACAGGAACACAGAATCGAAGGGCAAGCATTCAGTTTGATCACTTTCGCCGGGGAAATAAGAATTTAGTTGTCATTGCTCCATGTTTTATTTTATCTTGAATAGTTGATACGTTCTTTTTATACACTTGGAGATGTAGAGCCACTCTTGTATGGAAAAAGAAAAAAACAAAACTTTTGTTTGATCACTGAGTTCCTTCGGCCAGCTACTTCTGTCGTTCGGTTTTGTCTGAAACCCATTTTTTTTCCTTCCCGGGACACATCGTTATCTGGATTGAGAAGCAGACATTTGGGCATGCATTGTGTTTCTGCGACGAAGTAACTCGAAGAATGTCAGAAATGGCGAAATGAAGGGATCATCTATGAACGGAAAAAAAAGGGATCATCTATGAACGGAAACAAATCTGAGTTTACCGTTGGATTTGGTGGGGTGTAGAAAAACAATGAAGGTTCTAGCTAATGGTTGAGCATGTACACGTGTCGATTCCTCAGATGCTCTGCCTTTTCGCAATTCTGCATATAAAAAAAGAGCGCGTTTGTAGTTTTCTTGCCAAGACGTAGAAGTATCCGGTGTTTCTAGGGTTTTCTCGCTTTCTCTCGGATTTACTCAGGTGATTTTCGTCTCTCGATTTTCGCTTGTTGAAGATGTTCTGTCTCTGAGTGCAATCTATCAGGAGATTGTCTTATGGTTCTTGTTTTAGCGATTCGGTAACTGTAACGATATTGTTCGTGAGAATAGCTGTGTTGGAATTTTTGAATTCCTACTCGCCAGAGTTTGTCGATTCTTGCTCCGTTGAGATCAAAGTGGTGGTGATAATCTGATAGATCAGTTAGGGTTTCCATTTCAATAGACGGATAGTTCGCGGTCGTGTCGTTTCCAAATTCGAAGTGGGATGCCTAATCGGACACTTTGGAATGGCATAATCGAACAAACACCGTCAAAGGACATCATCTTCTGTCTGAACACTCTCTAAGTTTCTGATGACATTTTATTCCGTTAGCAGAGATAAAGGAAGGATTCGACATGGCCAATCCATTCGATAGATTCAGGAGCTCTGGTGGGTTCGGAGCAGCTAGGCGTAGTTTGTTTGGAGGACATGACCCATTTGATGACCCCTTCTTTTCTCGGCCATTTGAGGATTTGCTCGAGCTCAACTCCTCCAGTTCAGGTGTCCACTCAGTATTGCAGAAAAGAACACTGGTGGAAAGGGAGTAACAATTGAAGAACTGTTATCTGATGAAGAAGCAGATGATGGCAAAGATACCGGGAATGAGGAGCATTCTGATTCAGGGAAACAGCCTTCTGTTGAACACCCAGAAGATGATGCTGATGGTAAACCTCTCCTTAGTGATCTATAACAGTTTTCAGACGTTAGATAACTCGTGCCATAAACGTAGGTTGTAAGCTTTTTATATCATCAAACTTCTTATGTATATGCTGTGTATGTAGAAGAAATGAAGATTCAGGATATGAACCAAAGGAGCGACTTCAATAGAACAGATGGTACACGGTCCAAAGCTCACACACTCAGATACCACACCTGTAAGGTCATGTACGGTGGTGTAGATGGTACCTACTATACTTCAACTCGAACTAGAAGAGCAGATAATGATGGAGTAAGTTCCCGCCCTTTTTGGGTTGTAATGTTTGTTAAAATGCCTTTCGACATTCTAAATCATCGTTGTTTTTTCATTTTTGTTTGTAGACGGTGATTGAGGAAAGCAAAGAAGCAGATAAGGCAACAGGTGAAGCAGAACATAGAATCTCCAGAGGAATCCATGACAAGGTCACTTATACTATCCCCTGATGACAGTTGGTTGCTTTCTGTTTTCTTCTTCGAGAAAGAATCCAAAGCTCAAACCCATTATCCATATGGTCTGTTTCTACTGTGTTAACCGATCCTTTTGCCCTTTGTGTAGGGTCGCTCAGTTACAAGGAGGCTTAACTCCGATGGTAGAGTGGACACGACACAAACCCTCCACAACCTGAACGAAGGTCTGTTACCCTGATTAGGTCTGTAGCTCTGTTTGGTGAACTGAAATGTCTTAAACCACGAAAATCTTGTGTTTTCAGATGAGCTGAGTGGATTTGAAGAAGCATGGAAAGACAATTTCAGAGGCCATTTCCCTGGCTGGACCGACGAATTCAGCGCAGGTAATGGTTTCAGAATTCCATGTTCATTGGTAAGAGTTGATCAGTAGGGAGGGACCAATGTGAACAAAAAGGGAGATGGTCGTAAAGCTCCTTCCTTTACGATATAAGGGTATATTTGTAATTACGTATATTAGGTTTAACCGATAACTTTGGCAGGTTCCGACCGAGAGAGAGGGTGGCTGCTTCCGTATATGGACGAAAGAAGAGCCGGTCCGAGTCCCTCTGGTTCAGGAGCCAAGAAGGTAGTTCGGATCAACATAGATTGAGTATTTTCACTTTGTTGCTTGTCGAAACATTAAGAACAGGATACGGACTTCGCATCTTTCCACTGTGAAGAGACAAAGTTATTACGGGCATAAAACCAAAAAAAAAAAAAAAGTTATTACGGGCATGCATTGTAATGAAATAAAAGCGGGCAACCTATATGTGTATTTGCGTGTTCGAATATTAGAAACGACGTCGTTTTCCATTGTTATTAATTTTAGAATAGAGGACGGGTTTTGGGCCTGAACCGGCCCAGTAGATTCCGGCATTCTTGCTACGCGAAACGACGTCGCTTAGTTGTCCACCACGCCTATTCTCTGAAGCCGTTAAAGTGCACCCAATCCGGTAAGGTCAAGCAGAAGAGGAAGTTAAACAGACACACAAAACAGAGCAAAGTTAGATGCTTGTCTTGGCGCATTCGAATCAGCCATGGAGTTCAGTTTTCCCCACTATCCATCTCCTTGGGAGCTGCAGAACTTTGGATGATGTGAGCAAAGTTCACGCGCAATTGATTACGACTGGGTTCATCAAAAACCCTAATCTCACGACCAGGATCGTGCTCGCTTTTGCCTCTTCCCGGCGCCCTTGTCTTGCCGAGTTTGCCCGTTGTGTCTTCTTCGAGTACCACGCCTGTTCGGTTTTACCCGGGGAAGTGGAAGATCCATTCCTCTGGAATGCCATGATCAAGTCTCATTCTCATGGGCATGGCCCGACAGGAGCTCTGCTATTGCTCTGTTTGATGCTCGAGAGTTGTGTTCATGTCGATAAGTTCTCGTTTTCGCTCGTGCTGAAAGCGTGTTCTAGGTTAGGTTTGATGAGAGAAGGAATGCAGATTCATGGGTTTTTGAGGAAGACAGGGATTTGGTCGAATCTGTTTTTGCAGAATGGCCTGATTAGGTTGTATCTGAGATGTGGTTGTTTGGGGTTAGCACGACAAATATTCGATAGAATTCCTCAAAGGGACTCGGTCTCGTATAATTCCATGATTGATGGGTATGTAAAATGTGGGTTGATTGAATGTGCAGCCGAATTGTTTGATTTGATGTCTGAGGAGGAGAAGAATTTGATATCTTGGAACTCTATGATAAGCGGGTATGCTCAGACAGCAGATGGGCTTAACATGGCGCGGAAATTATTCGATGAAATGCCTGAGAAGGATTTGATTTCCTGGAACTCGATGATCGACGGGTGTGTAAAGCACGGGAAAATGGAGGATGCCATGGATTTATTTGATGTGATGCCAAGAAGAGATGTAGTTACTTGGGCTACCATGATTGATGGGTATGCAAAGTTAGGGCAAGTTCATCAAGCCAAGAGTCTTTTCGAGCAGATGCCTCAGAGAGATGTCGTGGTCTGTAATTCCATGATGGCCGGTTACACTCAGAATGGGTATTACATGGAAGCTCTCAAAATATTTGACTACATGGAAAGAGAGGGCAGCTTATCACCAGATGAGACGACATTGGTGATAGTTCTTTCAGCAATCTCTCAACTGGGCCACTTTTCCAAAGCCATGTCTATGCATCTGTACATTGCCGAGAAAGGATTCCGTTTAGGTGGAAAACTTGGTGTTGCTCTCATTGATATGTACTCGAAATGTGGAAGCATACAGAACGCGACATGGGTTTTCGAGGGAATTGAAAACAAGAACATTGATCACTGGAATGCCATGATTGGCGGGCTAGCTGTTCACGGGCTCGGGGATGCAGCTTTTGATTTGCTCATGCAGATGGAGAGGCACTCTGTTAAACCTGATGACATAACATTTATCGGGATTTTAAGTGCTTGCAGCCATTCTGGATTGGTAAAGGAAGGCCTTCTCTGCTTTGAACTCATGAGAAGAAAGCACAAGATCGAGCCAAGATTACAACACTATGGTTGCATGGTCGACATACTAGCAAGGTCAGGAAGTATAGAACTCGCTGAAAGGCTAATAGAGGAAATGCCTATTGAACCGAATGACATCATATGGAGAACATTTCTCAGTGCATGCAGTAATCACAGCTGCTTAAAAACCGGAGAGCTTGTAGCTAAGCACCTAATGGGACAAGCAGGTTATAACCCAAGTTCATATGTACTTCTGTCCAACATGTATGCCGGTCTTGGTATGTGGGAGGATGTTCGTAGGGTTAGGATGATGATGAAGAAAAGAAAGCTTCAGAAAATTCCTGGGTGTAGTTGGATTGAGCTAGATGGAAGAGTTCACGAGTTCTTTGTGCAGGTTAAGTCTCCTTGTACATAGTATGACCATTTGTTGTTGTCAAATTCATTGTGGATATTGGATAAGGATACTTCCACCATGTTTTACGAGGTTGTCTACTTTTGTGGTCGCTTGACCTAAAGTTGAATGAAGAATGAAAGATAGCCATGGATGGATAAGGTAAAAGCTGCCACCAAACAGGTTCACATGTTGTAAAGCCCCTGTTTGGTACGGTTGTCCTCTTTTACCTAACAAAGAGAAATTGTCAATTTTCAGAAATGATGCTTTCCACAAGGTCACCTAGGCTGAGGAATCTGCTCCATTTTTACAGTCTAAACACATCAATTACAGTTTCACAACACAGAAGAGATACATCACAACCCGATCTCTCGGATTCCCTACATCAAACTTAGACAGAGTTAACATCGAGCAATCAGTAATACCCAAATTCTGTTCTGCCTCCTATCGGTAGAAAAACCGAGGCAAGAATCTTGTTTGAACGAAACCCTAATAACTCTCTGCAAGTTTATTCAGTTCCTGCATGACTTCTTCCATGGATGGTCTGTGGCTTGAGGATTCATGAGTGCAGAGAAGCCCGAGTCTTGCGAGCTGAGCAGCTTCTGCTTCGAGAAAGTTCCCTTTAAGGTTAGAATCCATGAAACTTTCCAGTCCTCCTGATTCTATGACTTGGATTGGCAAATGACCCACTTTACTTTTCCCACTGAGTATCTGTAAAACGATCATACCGAAGGCATAGACATCGCTCTTCTCAGTGAACCGGCCAGTAGTTATGTACTCTGGAGCCAAGTACCCATGGCTGCACTTGCTTTGAGCTTCGAGAAAACTATATCGTCGGTGAAAAGCTTGTGAAGACCCGAGTCCCCGAGGGAAGGATTATACCAATGGTCAATGAGGATCTTCTCTGCAGATATGTTCTGGTGAACTATTGCAGGCTTGTTCCCGTTTTGTCCATGCAAGTAATGAATACCTGAAAAAAAAAGTTCAAGAATCATTTGATTTCACAGAGAAAACTCATCATCATCTTACAATGGCATTTTAGGGTTTTATTGCGGATGAGAACGGACCTCTCGCGATGCCATTGATGATGGAAACTCGTGTGGACCATTCAAGAACCTCTCCCCCTTCCTCCTCCTTCACGTCGAGATACTGCAAGAGGTTTCCATTGGGGACAAAATCGTAGATAAGGAAACACTCTCCTCGGCTTTTTGAGCAGCAGAATCCTCTCAGCCTGACCAAATTCTCATGCTTCAACAATGTCAGAATCTTCAATCCCTTGAGAAACTCAGATTCATCTGACTTACAGCTTGATTTCGCGATACATTTTATCGCAGCCACAGACCCATCTCGGAGAATTCCCCGGTAAACTGATGAGAAATTGCTCTTTCCCAACATGTTAACCTCCGAGAAGCTCTGAGTGGCACGCTCAACGTCTTCCAGGTTGAACATGAAGCTTTCAAAGACTTCTTGAGACAAGGCACTGTTACTGTTCTGTCCTCGAGCCAACGGGTCCCACCCGCTCGCATACTCCAAGCTGATGAGCGGAGAAGCGCCCTTTTTTCTAGAAACTTCCTTAAACTGATATTCAGTGCTAAGCCTTCCGTCCACGGGATCGAGGTTGCTTCCAATCTTCTGTTTCCGGCGTCTGTGCCATGCGAAGGTGAAACCGCCAAAGGCCGCAACTGCAATGACTGTAATGATCAGACCGACAATGACACCGAAAGACTTTGAGCTCTTCGAACATCGACCACTGTTGCTGCAATTCCTACGCTGCAAATCTGCAGATTCTGGCTTAATGTCGGTGGAAAAGCTTTTCGGGTTAGACGGGTCTGGCCGGTTCAGATTCATGCCATCAGAAACAGCACAAGCCTTCAAACCCAGAAACCCAACTCCACATAAAGCAGGATTGTTCGCAAACTGGAAACCATTCTCAAGCCTCTTTAAACCTTCACGTCCAAGAAATCGAGAAACTGGCCAAAGTAAGCATCTTTTGCAAACTCGGAGTAAAAGGGGCAAACGTAGAGACAGAAAGAGAAGGCAATTTACCAGTGGGTACATTGCCGGAGAAGGAATTGTTCCGAATGTCCAGAACTTCTAACAGAGGAGCTTCAGCCAGTTTGACTGGAACCGGTCCAAAGAGATGGTTGAAGCTCAAATCAAGCCTCGTTAACGAGTCAAGGCCTCCTAAACTCGCCGGAATCGCGCCGGAGAGTTGGTTTGACTGTAAAGCGAGAACGCTTATCTTTTTCAGAGATCCCAGCTGCGTCGGTATACTCCCACTTAGCTTGTTGTAACATATCTGGAGAACTGTCAACATACAAAAAAGAAAGAGGCAAAAAAGTATACTTTTGAGCCAATTAATAACACAAAATCTGACCCACATAGGGTTTTCTTTTTCTGCAATAAATGAAGGAGTTACACTAAACTAAAGCTCTTAGATTCTGTCGGCACTGAAACAACTCTATGAATTCCTCAAGAACATGCAGAAACCAGATACAGAGGATATAATAGATATAACGCAAATACCCACACAAAAAAAGGACCGACCTTGAAGATTCCCCAAGTTGCCGATTTCGGGAGGGATTTCGCCGGAGAGGTCATTCACGTTGAGGTACAAGTCGCTGAGCAGAGGCAAGTGAGAAATCTCCTTGGGAATCTCACCGTGCAGGGAATTGAAGTGAAGGTACAGACCCGTCAAGCCGGTGAGACGACCGACGGCCGCCGGAATATTCCCGGAAAGACCCATCCCTTGGAGGGAAATGTTGGCGACACGGCCGTGTTCGTCGCAGGCGACGCCGTCGAAGGACCCGGCGGCGCAAGGGTCGCCGCCCGGTGCCCATGAGAAGAGGAACCGGGTTTCCGGGTCGAGCGAGGCTTTGATGTCGAGGAGAATGTCGCGCTCCGAGGAGGAAGAGACGGTCGGAGCGACGGAGAAATGGAGGAGGAGGATGAGGGAGAGTGAGAGTAGAGAGGGCATGTTTGGTTGGAGAGAAAATGAAGGTAAAATGTGAAGGAAAGTGACGCTCTGTTTGGTTTTTAAGCGGAAAATTCTTTATCCTCTTCTCTTTCTTTTTTTATTATACACATTTTTTTTACAATATAAATCCTAATGTATAAGGGAGGTTCGTAAATACATTTGAACGTCCACTAATATAAGTTTTATTTTATTTTTTTAATATTTGGTGGAAAATATTTCGGGTCAAATTGAAAATGATTTTGTGTGTGTTAAAGTCCACATCTTCGTATTTCTTCTGTAGTCTTTTTAAAGACTTTTCAGAACGAAATAAGAGCGAGAGTTAGGCGAATCTTTCTGTTCTTCTCTGGAATCCGTGCGGGGAAAAAGCAACTCTTTTTCAACGAAGAAATTTGATATAAAAATATTCCACTTCACATTTATCATTTTTTGTATATAAAAATTGAAAATATTAAATTTCAATATTTTTTTGGTAACACAATGAAACTCTATCCTTTTTTTGAGTAAATGTTATTCGTACATTCAGGAACAGCATTTTTTTTCTACCCAAAAGATATACAAATCTCCAAATTTAAGTTTTATTTTATACTGATTTTTTGGAAGGCTCGTTATAATCAGCCATCTTACATTCTATATACCAATGAATTGCTTATATTTTATATAAATAATTGTTGGTACGTATTTAAATAAGTAAATAATAATATAATAAAAACAGGGCATGGAAATTGCATGGAAACGTACCTTCGAATTGGGACAAAATAAAATAACAAACAATCAAAGATGATGGACCCAGAGTCAATAGAACCAACATGTGAACTTCTTTCATGTTTTTTGCTGTTTTCTTTTGCTTTTTGATACCAAACTCGAGCATGTGAATCCTACATAATAAAAACAATATAATACAAATAACGTATGGTTAGATAAATGACACTTTTTATAACAATTTGTTGCTTACTGGGTAGTGGTTTACAAGATAACACAATATTTTTTTTGGCAGATATCATAACATTTTTTATGCTCATAGTCTATACTCCAAATCACAAATTTAAATACATTCTAACGATAGAACATTTGCGTTACTATTCCAAAACCATAAATTCTTTCGACAAAAATAACAATCTGATATACTTATAACGATGAATAATAGATTCCCTCCATTTCTAAACGAATGTCAGTTTTATAAAAAAAATTACAATTTTAAAGAAATATAAGAAAAAGTCATATATACCCTTATTAAATCACATTACCATTAATACTCCATTCAAGTTGGAAATTTTTAATTGAAGATAAATTTGTATTTTTTTTAAATCAACTGAATAGTCTAGAACATAATATTTAGTAACAAGAAAATATACTTAACATATGAATGTCATGTAATGTTTAATATTAATTTAGATTTAATTAGAGTTTTATATATTTTGGAGGAATTATTGCATTATACTATTACCGGAGATCTATGTGATGCCGTTGGTAGTAATTAGTTATCAGTATGGTATTAACTATTAATTAGATCTGATTGCTACTGTTGTCGTGTCTTGATGGGAGATAATCTTGTTTGGTCCATATCATATGATTATGCATGTCTGTTTCTACACAAACGTAACCAACATGCCTTATTTTAATCAAAACACGTTTAAACCCACACCAATATTGTTAAAAATATGTACGCATATACAAATATTTATTATTTTTATTAAATTCAAATTGTACATCTATAATCAACATCACAATATATTATTTCTAAATATATCGCATATTATTCTATAAACTTCTTTTTAGGTGTGAATTAAGTTTCGAGTTTTTTTTGGTTATTTTTTTTATATAATTTATAAATTCATCGCTCTTTTAATCCCATTAGATCTCCAAGAGATATAGAAAAGCCCATATAAAAATCCTTTCTAAAATGAAGACTCGAATTCGGATGACTCAACTGGTTAAATAGACAATAGGTTAAATTAACCTGACCTATTTAAATAATACATTTTTTTAATTTGATATCATGACTACAAACTATGGAAATAATTGGGCTCAAATATTTTGTGGTTAAAACGAGAAATACAAGCATTTAATTCATTTCGAGAATGCGACCGTCTTGGTTGATAAAAATCATGATAGAATGATCAGTATAAACTCATACAAACAGTTTATCTATTTTTATTCCGATTTACAAAAAAAAAAATTAAATTTTGAAACTTTCATTCTCGATTTTAGAGAAAAGAAACTCCACTAGAAATGCTCCACTACCTGAAAATGATTACAGATTTTTAAAATATATAAAGAAAATGTCCGATATGATATATAGTTCTTCCAACTTACCAAACACGAAAAGACAAAACAGTGTTGGCAGATCATATGATCCAGCAGTGAATTTTTTTTTTTTACTATTTTGTCACTAAGAAATTCAAATGGAGTGATGCAAGAAGGAAAAAGGTAAAGAAAACTCATGCTTTGGAGTAAATGAAACTACTCAGGTTTCTTATATATATATACTCGGGTTTCTTATATATATGTATATATATATAAGAAAATACAGTTATTTTTATGATTTTTTCAAGTCAATAGGGTTAAATTTTACAAAACAATAAAATATTAAATAAACGCTATTCTTTATCAATAAATATGTTTTAATTAACTTTTTAATGGGTCGAAATACAATTTATCTAAAAATTAAATGAAAATTCAATGGAGAAATTATACGGATATCCGATTTAAGAACCAAAAAAAAAAACTAAAATCTAGATGACAAATATTGGGATGGGTACATTTTGAATGCGAATAAAAGCACTCATCTCTCCTTTTTACAAGTTGAAGGTCACAGGGTGGAATATTTCTCCTTAAAGAGCCTTTAAAATGTCTCAATCTCTCTCTCTCCCTTTCAGCTTTGCAGGCACTTTTGCTACGTTAGTGGTCTGCTTGTCTCATTCCTCGAGCTAATGCACAGAATGACCCAAACAGTGGACCGAATTTGAAAAATACTCATGATTATATATAGTAAGTGGAATTTTTTTTTAAAAAAAATGATAAAATAAAACCCTTATGTTGTAATATTCAGCATCATGGAGTTGAGATACTTATATTTATCAAAGAAGAGAAAATATTAAAGCATGTTTTTTAAAAAACATTATTAGCCTTGGTGCTATTATTAAAACATTATTAGCCTTTTCTAGTTTCCATGTTCATGAAAACGAGAGGACAAGTCACGTGACAAAGCCAATTTTGCACTTTAAAATCGGACAAATGGATTAATATATTCTTCGGACAGTGCAAAAATTGACATAGGTATCTACGGATTCGCATAGACAAGATCAAGCTTTTTTTTTATCTTTACTTTCACGGGTTTTCACCCTTCGTTAGTATTATTTTTTATTTATTTTTTCATCTTCCTATACAACACAGTAAAAAAAAACATATCTATGAATTTTCCGATGTGGGATAATTAGAGATTAGAGATTAGACTTTAATAATGGTCTCTTGGTATTTGGAGCTTAGGGACCAAATCTTACTTTATGCTTCCATAATTACACTTTTGCCCATCTCTTGCAAAAAGATCTCTCATTACCCAAAGAAGTTGCCATTTTCTTTGACCGCCTCTTCGAACGACGTCGTTTACAAATGGACTTTAAAGTTTGCAAATTGGGCTGAAATCGGCCCATGCATAATATACTATGAGCCCATATTTATTTTCATCAGTCGGCCCAAGTTTCTTGGGCCAAAACGTAAATACATGAAAGAAGCGAGGGCATCCTTGAAAATACCTAACACTTTAAAAACCCTAGCAGTTCTCGCCCTTAATTTGGATCAAACTAGGGTTTTTTCTTTCTTCTTTCGCTACTGCATCGTGAGAAGGAAGCGGAGGCGCATCGATCTCAGGGAAGCAGCGGAGATCCGTACACCGTCACCATGGGTCGTATGCATAGCAGAGGGTTCGTCCGTTTCTTTGTTCTGATAATCTGTTTCCGATTACGCGAGAGCGTTGCTTGTGTTGTGTCTTTCTGTTGATCTGTTCTGTGTTATGCTTTGTGTCATGTAGTAAGGGTATTTCGGCATCTGCTTTGCCGTACAAGCGGACACCGCCGAGTTGGCTCAAGACCTCTCCTCAGGATGTAAGAACTTCTGAATCTTGGATTCGTCTTTTCTGAACATTGGAATGCTTATCCTGATATTTATTTTGTTTCGAGAATTCCTTTGGTTGGTGTAATCGATTTGAGGTTTGTGGCAATGGTAGCATTCATCTGCTACTTCGTCATGTATACCTTTTACACTCTGCAGTTGACAAGAATGAAACTTGTTGGACTAGGATAATTGTTATGAAACACACGATGGCTGATTTGTTAGTTAGTTTCGTAAGAATGGTGCAATAATTTCAAAGACATACTAAACCTTGATGAAGCCATAAACTCGTCAGTGATAAAGGATGTATATTATATAAATAGGCTGAGATTTCATATGTTTCATATTGATATTGGTTCTGCATACATAGGCCTAAGGGTATGAAGTAAACCGTGCTTTGAGTGTGATAAGTTGTCTGAGTTTGTGTTTTGATCCTTTCTCTGGTCAACAGGTCGATGAGTCCATTTGCAAGTTCGCCAAGAAGGGTTTGACCCCATCTCAAATTGGTGTCATCCTCCGTGACTCTCATGGAATTCCGCAGGTGAAAAGTGTCACCGGTAGCAAGATTTTGAGGATTCTCAAAGCTCATGGTACATGCGAATGCTGATATTTTTGTCCCGGGTCACCTGCTGTTGTCAATAAACGTGAAACTAAAGAGTTTATTGTACTTGTAAAGGTCTTGCTCCTGAGATTCCTGAGGATCTGTACCACCTGATCAAGAAAGCTGTTGCTATCCGCAAGCACCTTGAGAGGAACAGGAAAGACAAAGATTCCAAGTTCAGGTTGATTCTGGTGGAGAGTAGGATCCACAGGCTTGCCCGTTACTACAAGAAGACCAAGAAGCTTCCTCCTGTGTGGAAGTAGTAAGTATCTGACTTAGCATTATGCTAGCACTGTTTCGCATAGATTGTTCGAACCACGTGCTTGGGAATTGGTTCGATCCACATGCTTGGGCCAACTTCTTGACGATGCTTTATGTTTTTTTTTCAGCGAGTCTACTACAGCCAGCACTCTTGTGGCTTAGAGGCATGGAGTCAAGAAACCTCCAAAGCAATTGGGCTTTGCTCGGACTTCGTTTTCTTCTGCATTGGATTAAATCTCTCTGTCTTTTAATAGTTTTGTCGCGTTACAATGAGATTTTTTTACATTTAGAACAGAAGTGGTTTTATATATCATCGGACTGACTGGTTCATGTCTCATTTTTCGTCGGTTGAAATTACTGTCTTGCCCATCATCAAGCTTGATATTAATCTGCTTTTCCACCAACCTAATCCTACCATATCGTGACACGTGTTGGAAATATGTGACGGGTGAAACACCTGATCTCTCCCCGAACAAGTGGGGCCTTTGGAAGGTGAGCTTGGAAGCTGGAACTGGGGTGGGGCCACACATTAGGCCTCGAATTGGGCCTTTTAGAGCCTATTTTGTCTTATTGGGCCTTTTAGGGCCTATATATCATATATAGGCTATGCAAAGCCCATAAGCACCTCCCCTTGGGATTTCTGTAAATTGGTTGGTCCCTGCATGATACTTTTAATGGCTTTTCTTAGATGTAGACTTGTTAATTCCATGTGCCGACACAGAAATCTGTTACCGAAAAAAAATATTAAACCGCAAATTTCACAATGTTTCAATATCTTCCCCTCTCGAAAAGACCATAAACCCACTCTTTATTCTTCATGAAGTTCACACTGACTGACGTGTAAACTTCTTCCTCTCATCGCTTTGCCCTAAAGGGAAAACCCTACAGTTTGCCCTTTTATTCAAAACTGAGGAGAATGCTGAGATGGCACAGCTTCCTCCTGTAATGTAATAAACTTAGCAGCTACAGATGGTCATTAGATCAGTTCCTTAGCTGCTCCAACAACAGCATCAACAGTGATCCCAAACTCCTTGTACAGTCTCCCTGCTGGTGCACTGGCCCCGAACGAGTCAATTCCAATGGCCTTCCCCTTTGACCCGACAATCTTTTCCCACCCGAACGTTGTCCCGGCTTCAATGCTAACCCTAGCCGATACATCGGATGGCAAAACACTTTCCTTGTATGCATCTGATTGCTCATCAAATAGCTCCCAGCACACAAAGGACACAACCCTAACAGCTTTGCCTTCTTTCCTGAGCTCATCAGCTGCCTTAGCAGCGATTTCTAGTTCAGACCCAGTTCCAATCAAGATGGCATCGGGTTTGTTACCCGATGAGTTGTCGGAGATGGTGTACGCACCCTTCTCGACACCTTCAACGGATGTGCCGGGAAGTTGAGGCAGCTTTTGCCTAGAGAGGGCTAACACTGAGGGTCTCTTGCGTTTAGAGACGGCGATTTTGTATGCACCGGCTGTTTCGTTTCCATCAGCAGGTCGGAACATCAGAATGTTAGGCATTGCCCGGAAACTCGCCAAGTGCTCGATTGGCTGGTGGGTCGGTCCATCCTCTCCGAGACCAATGGAATCGTGAGTCATAACGTAAATCACACCAGCTTCAGACAAAGCTGAGATTCTCATGGCAGCTCTCATGTAGTCAGTAAACACAAAGAATGTTGCATTGTAGGGGATAAGACCCGGGCTGTGAAGGGCAATGCCGTTGCAGATGGCTCCCATCCCGTGCTCCCTAACACCGAACCTAAGGTTTCTTTCTTCGGGTGTCTCCTTTTGGAAGTTACCAAACGTTTTGAGCAATGTCATGTTGGAAGATGCAAGGTCAGCACTCCCACCAAGGAAACCAGGCACGACACTCGCAAGGGCATTTAGGCATTGCTGAGACAGGTTTCGGGTAGCATCAGCTGGGGACTCAGGGGTATATGTCTGGACAATGATAAGAGATAGACGTTGTAAAAACCAGTTCAAGAAAATCTATTAAACTTAAAGATGGTAAAGCATAGTCAGCAAATCATAGATTTACTTACAGGGAGTGCCTTCTCCCAACCAGAAGGTAATTCACCAGTAATGATAGCTCTCAGCTCTGCAGCTTCGTCAGGGTACTTCTTTTCATACTCTGCAAACTTGGCATTCCAATCAGCTTCAAGAGCAGCGCCTTCAGGGGTATGACGGCTCCAGTGGCTGGAAAATGTACGAAACACGGTAAAGTAGCAGAGGCTTTCCGATACCGCAAAAATAAACCGAAACCAAGTTTAGATTCACCAACCTTTTAACATCGTCAGGGACATGGAACGGCTCATAGGGCCATCCAAGGTTCTTTCTGGTAGCCCCGACCTCCTTCTCACCAAGTGCACTACCGTGGACACTGTACGAGTTTGCCTTGTTGGGAGACCCAAAACCAATCGTGGTTGTGACCTGCAGTTGTGATGGGGTATATGTAAAGTGGTAGCACATACCAAATGGTATCAAGATTAAGAGTTGTTGCTTAATGGCTAGAAAATTGTGAATATATACCTTGATCAATGTGGGCTTGTCTTTCACAGTCTTAGCTTCCTTAATGGCGGCATGGATCTCATCATAGCCAGTGTTTCCATTCTTCACCCAAATAACATGCCATCCAAGAGCTTCGAACCGTTGGTCCACACTCTCGGTAAAGGCAATGTCTGTGTCACCGTCAATGGAAATGTGATTGTCGTCGTACAAAGCAATGAGCTTTCCAAGTCCCCAGTGGCCAGCCAGAGAGCAAGCTTCATGTGAAATTCCCTCCATCTGACAACCATCTCCGAGGATCACGTATCTGCATGAAGCAAACCAAATGCATTGAGCCACGCCAACCACACAAGACAATCTTTTTCAATATCAGGATCAAATATAAACCGAAAAGCATATGTAAGTAATGACAGGCGGATTTCATATCTTACGTGTAATGGTCAACGATTTCATTGTCGGGTTGGTTGAATCTAGCAGCCAAATGCCTCTCAGCAAGAGCTAAACCAACAGCATTTGCGATACCTTGTCCAAGAGGACCTGCTCAGCAGCAAAAAGGAAAATGACAAAGCGAATATAACGCCATTGACAGAGAAGCTTAAGTAAAACGGCATGAACTAAAAACCAAAGGGCAGAAAAGCCAACCAGTAGTCACTTCAATTCCAGGAGTCTCGAAGTTCTCGGGGTGTCCAGGTGTCCTACTTTCCCATTGTCGGAAATTCTTCAAATCTTCTTCCTGATGAACAATCAATCGTAAATTCGTCCGGTAATCCAAATCTCAGTCTTCCGATCATAAATTTGCTCATATTTTCTGTCTCATTG